CTATGGAAATAATCTTACCTAAGAAGAAATAAATGAAGAACATAAGCGAAGAAATTTTATTAGCTTAGATATTACTAGATTACTAGTTGCCGAGAATTTATTATCAACTATGGAAATAATCTTACCTAAGAAGAAATAAACGAAGAACATAAGCGAAGAAATTTTATTAGCTTAGATATTACTAGATTACTAGTTGCCGAGAATTTATTATCAACTATGGAAATAATCTTACCTAAGAAGAAATAAACGAAGAACATAAGCGAAGAAATTTTATTAGCTTAGATATTACTAGATTACTAGTTGCCGAGAATTTATTATCAACTATGGAAATAATCTTACCTAAGAAGAAATAAACGAAGAACATAAGCGAAGAAATTTTATTAGCTTAGATATTACTAGATTACTAGTTGCCGAGAATTTATTATCAACTATGGAAATAATCTTACCTAAGAAGAAATAAACGAAGAACATAAGCGAAGAAATTTTATTAGCTTAGATATTACTAGATTACTAGTTGCCGAGAATTTATTATCAACTATGGAAATAATCTTACCTAAGAAGAAATAAACGAAGAACATAAGCGAAGAAATTTTATTAGCTTAGATATTACTAGATTACTAGTTGCCGAGAATTTATTATCAACTATGGAAATAATCTTACCTAAGAAGAAATAAACGAAGAACATAAGCGAAGAAATTTTATTAGCTTAGATATTACTAGATTACTAGTTGCCGAGAATTTATTATCAACTATGGAAATAATCTTACCTAAGAAGAAATAAACGAAGAACATAAGCGAAGAAATTTTATTAGCTTAGATATTACTAGATTACTAGTTGCCGAGAATTTATTATCAACTATGGAAATAATCTTACCTAAGAAGAAATAAACGAAGAACATAAGCGAAGAAATTTTATTAGCTTAGATATTACTAGATTACTAGTTGCCGAGAATTTATTATCAACTATGGAAATAATCTTACCTAAGAAGAAATAAACGAAGAACATAAGCGAAGAAATTTTATTAGCTTAGATATTACTAGATTACTAGTTGCCGAGAATTTATTATCAACTATGGAAATAATCTTACCTAAGAAGAAATAAACGAAGAACATAAGCGAAGAAATTTTATTAGCTTAGATATTACTAGTTTTACTAGTTGCCGAGAATTTATTATCAACTATGGAAATAATCTTACCTAAGAAGAAATAAACGAAGAACATAAGCGAAGAAATTTTATTAGCTTAGATATTACTAGATTACTAGTTGCCGAGAATTTATTATCAACTATGGAAATAATCTTACCTAAGAAGAAATAAACGAAGAACATAAGCGAAGAAATTTTATTAGCTTAGATATTACTAGATTACTAGTTGCCGAGAATTTATTATCAACTATGGAAATAATCTTACCTAAGAAGAAATAAACGAAGAACATAAGCGAAGAAATTTTATTAGCTTAGATATTACTAGATTACTAGTTGCCGAGAATTTATTATCAACTATGGAAATAATCTTACCTAAGAAGAAATAAACGAAGAACATAAGCGAAGAAATTTTATTAGCTTAGATATTACTAGATTACTAGTTGCCGAGAATTTATTATCAACTATGGAAATAATCTTACCTAAGAAGAAATAAACGAAGAACATAAGCGAAGAAATTTTATTAGCTTAGATATTACTAGATTACTAGTTGCCGAGAATTTATTATCAACTATGGAAATAATCTTACCTAAGAAGAAATAAACGAAGAACATAAGCGAAGAAATTTTATCAGCTTAGATATTACTAGATTACTAGTTGCCGAGAATTTATTATCAACTATGGAAATAATCTTACCTAAGAAGAAATAAACGAAGAACATAAGCGAAGAAATTTTATTAGCTTAGATATTACTAGATTACTAGTTGCCGAGAATTTATTATCAACTATGGAAATAATCTTACCTAAGAAGAAATAAACGAAGAACATAAGCGAAGAAATTTTATTAGCTTAGATATTACTAGATTACTAGTTGCCGAGAATTTATTATCAACTATGGAAATAATCTTACCTAAGAAGAAATAAACGAAGAACATAAGCGAAGAAATTTTATTAGCTTAGATATTACTAGATTACTAGTTGCCGAGAATTTATTATCAACTATGGAAATAATCTTACCTAAGAAGAAATAAACGAAGAACATAAGCGAAGAAATTTTATTAGCTTAGATATTACTAGATTACTAGTTGCCGAGAATTTATTATCAACTATGGAAATAATCTTACCTAAGAAGAGATAAAAGGAGAACCTAAGCGAGGACAATAGATTAAGTAACTCTGCCCCAGTGAAATCATCCGATGGCATCATGTTTGATGGCACCGTCCATCGGAGTTCACTGGTCAGGTCGTTTGAACTATCTAAAAAGAGATAAGGAGGACAGGATGAAGACGCGTGCCAATGAGATTATGAGGAGTCGTAGGTGTTCTAATTGAAGCCTAAAGGGATAAATCATTTACACATTTAAGTCTAACTGATTATGTTTATTTAATGAAGTTCAAATGTAATATAGGTGAATAAATGCAGTAAATAAGTGTAAAGGACGAAAACAAGTAAAAATAAATGCATCGAAAAAGGTTAATCATAGAAACATTCATTAATTCCTAATCACTCAAGCTGTAATCCCAACTGAGCCACCAATGAACCCAAACTGACTGACATCGTTTGTTCACTTCTAGAGTTGTTTATATATTTGTAGTCAAATGGGGCGTTACAATGGTTAATGGGAAGGTGGGAGATAAATACAACTAAATAAAAAGGTGAACAATCTGGGAAAGCACGTGAAGAGGTGTTGTATATAATGTGTGTTGTATATATTTATCCCCATGTTGTATATAATAAAATTAAAAAATTTATTGTTGATCATATGTTTTCTATACTTTGGGTTAACATTAAATTTTTTTAAAAAGCTCTTAATACTGTACAATTGTCCGCTGTACAATTGTCTTCTGTACAATTGTCTAACTGTACAATTGTCCCACTGTACAATTGTCATGGAGCCATACCGATAAGTAGAACTTGAATTAGACCTAAAAATTAGGGAAAAATTAAAATTAGTCAGTTTAAGGGCTCTCAAAGCATTATCCTGTATATCCTGTATACGGCAATGAAACCGTATAATTAGGTTGGAGGATGAGGATCCAAACCCTGCAACTAGGGTTGTACCCCGAACGCTCGGGGGCGGGTATGTCGGGGTACGGGGTTTTCGAATTGTTTCGGGGCGGGGTTCGGGTCGGGGGAGCAAAATATGGTCGGGGTTCGGGTCGGGGTACGGGGATTTCCTGGAAAAATTTTTAAAAAAAAAATGCTCAAAAATAAGCAGTTTTCGGTCTATTTTCGTTAATTTATTCAGAAATTAAGGGGGAGATGGAGGAATTAGAGATTATATAAGAGGTTTTTAGGGATTAAATGGGATTTGAAGGCATTAAGGTGTATATCTGCGGATATAAGAGGATTTGGAGGAATTAAGGAGCGATTAACTGTATCAGTAATTTTAAGGGATGATGAGAGAGGCATATGAAGAAATTGAGAGGGATATAAGTGGATATGGACGTATCAGGGGATCCTTGATATCCCTCTTAATCTTCATTACTCAGTTTATATCCTTTTTCACCGCCGCAGGCGAAAATTTTGGGAATTTTGGAAGGCCGGAAGGAAGATTTCTTACATTTTCAGAGCCGCAGGCGAAAATTAGAAAATTTTTTAGGTCATAAAGCCGGATTTCTTTGTTTTATAGCGCTGCACACGAAAATTTTTGAAATTTTCGTGTCAAAAAACTAAACAAAAAATCTTTGCATTGTTTTTTATAGTTGATAATATTAAAAAATAAGATTAACATTTTAAAATTAAAATTAAACTCTTGTTTTTGTAAAGAAAAATACAAAACTAACGCGTTATGCTTATCTGGATCCGAACACAATCCCATATTAATGAAAATGTAGGCTAAAACCAAAAACTAAGCCACTCAACCACAAGTCTCTTACCGTAAGGGAAGAGAATTTTAATATTTTATTCACTTTTCTTTCAAAAATATTAAAGGCAATGTAATTTTGGGAGAAATTTTTTTTAATTTTCTTCATTAATTTCTCCCAAAAATGGCATTTTTTTGGGTATATAAAACCCCGAAACCCCGAAAATTTTTCGGCCGGGGAACGGGGTTTTCACTTTTTTTCGGGGCGGGGTTCGGGTCGGGGAGAATCGTGAAAAAATCGTTCGGGAACGGGGTCGGGGTTCGGGGTACGGGGTCGGGGTACAACTCTACCTGCAACCCAGGATCTGCAAACCCTATTTAAAACTGATTATAAGGCCAGTTTGATTAAAGCACTCGCTTTTCATTTATTAAAAGAAAATCAACGAAATGGAGTGCACAATTGACTGAATAAATTGACTGAGTGCACAATCAGTGCACAATTGACTGAATCGCCTATAGAGAGAGTTGACAAAATAGAATTAAATAAAAATACTTAACTAAAAGTGAATATGCAAAAGGGGATAGCCGACTTAACAACAAACTTTCTGGACTGCCATAATGAAAATTGACATTGTTTTGCTTTGAATATTCCCCATACCTTAAATAAAATTTATTTAAATAATTTTAATAATATTTTTTGTGTTTTATGGTTTAAGGTAATTTTCGGGCCATAAAAATATTAGTCAGAAATATATAGTCTGTAGAGATGGCTGGAATCAAGAATGTGCCGTTCCGCCTTCGCCGAATTTCGTCTTTTTGGTTGTTTCGCCTTTTGCTTTTTAACTTTATTTCGGGACACACAAGGTTGGGTTCCTCTCCTTCTGGCACGAAACGTGGAGAGACTGACCCAGTCATTCCTACTCAACGAGGCCCATCCTCACTTTGTAAAGCAAAGAAGTAAAGATACAACATTGGTGTTATACGGATTTTCCTCCACCTTCCATTAATTTAACTAATCACTTTAACTTCCTCTTTAAGTTTTCATTTCATCATTATTTAAAAACCCCACAGACGTATAATGGAATATTTTTGTATTTAAATTCCCAGTTGTAATAACAAAATTTTTTATAAGGCTGATTTATATTTGAAAGTATGCAGAGAATTATCATCACAAATATTCCAATAGTTAATCCAATAAAGGCACGAAATTTGTTTGCTTTTGAGAAGAATATTCCGAGGAAGAAGAGGCCTACTAAAGGACCAGAGATTGTATCCAATGTTGTTAAAATTATTTGGAAGATGCCCCCAAAGTTGGAATAGGCAAAGGCCATTGATGTTGCTAAAATACTGAAAAATATATAGAAAAATTATTTTCAAAAAGTACTTTTATTAGAGAGGCTCTCTATAATTAAAGGTCCTTTCATTTAAATTCTTCAAACTTAATTTTAAATTTACATATTAAATATTATTCGACGCGTCTTATCGGTCTGCATCGAATAACACTAGAATCGCTTGATAGGATTATATTAGGTCAGGTATACCCATAATAAAAACATTGCCTGAGGGCATTTATCATTAATTTGTCCTATTTATTATCTGTTACAAATAAATTACCAAAAATTCTATTAGCTATTAAAATAGTCTCAATTGTTTTAACTTCGTTAAGTGCTACAGGATCACAAGCCTGGGAAGAAGGCGACCATAAGAAATCCGATATACGCGATCATTAATTCTGTTTATAATTTTTTATTTGAGAGATAAAATTCAGAAACTAACGTATAATCACATTAGCTGGAATTGTTAAATTTAATACTCGATGAGCATGTTTTAATGAAGGCATTGAACAATACTAGAAAATTTTTTAATAATTTTTTAATAAATTAAAAAATTTTTTAATAAATTAAATAAATTTTCAAAATTTTCTAAAAAATTTTTTTAAAAATATCTTGAAGATTTTTCAACAAATTTTCCAGAAAATTTAAAAAATTTTTTTCAATCTATAGGTCTCTAAGCTCTGACCTGCTTCAATCGTTCCTTTAATAATAATTATGCCAAGCCCCAGATAAATAAAAGATGCTTGGAGGGTGTCTGTCCTTAATTTTTTTAATTTAAAAACTTTAATTCTATTTATTCACCAAATAACGATTTAATCCCACCAGCATCCGTGTAAAATGTCGAAACTGCCCCTACAAGGAGCTACATAAATGGCCATAATGGAAGTGAGGTTACTCCAGACAGGGCTATTGATGGGGCGTAGATTAGTACCTTTATTTTGAATTTTTTAAGATTAAATGAGAGGCAAATGAGACCACTCATTTACTTTAAAGTACTCTATTAGGACAGAAAAATTAAATCTTATAATGAGGTTAATTTAAATTAGAGGTATCAAGTAAGCTGATCCCTCCACTGCTTCCTTCCTCCCCCTCATGGTGCCTACCCGAATACGGGAAACAACTCTATTTTAAAATGCACTAAATTATTACAGCCATATATATGAGCGTGTTTAATGTAAAAATTAGTGTTGCAATCCTTCGGAGTGTTCTGCTGTCAAATCTCATTTCAAAATATTCGTAGGCATTGAGGCACTAAATTTAAAATTTTTGTAAATTTCGTTAGGGCAATAGGGGTACCTTAATTTTATAAAAAATCGGAATAAAGAAAATTCCAATAATTGGAAAGGCTAAAGTTCCAGCCATTGTATGAGTAAACAATTCAGAGCCTTTAGTATAAATTTCGGCAAGTACTCCAAGCAAACCAATGCCAGAAACAAAAGTGGTTAAAGAGAGGCCAACGGGGAAGACTGGAATGCGACGGCCTCCATCTAGAAAATCCCCTGTTTTCGAGTTTTGTTGTTGTTCTGATTTTGAAGTGAGGGAACGTCAAATTCTGTGGTAGAGACCAACAAGGAGTTAAAGGACTAGAAAAATACCAACAACACCGAAATCGACGAGGGCAAACATTATAAGCTGTAAATTAATATATGTAGTTGTTTGGAAAGAAATACAAAAATCAGAATTTTTATTTTAAAACAATGTTAATAATAATTCTGATTTTTAATTTAAATCAGAATTAATCAAAATTATATTTGTTTCAGAATTCGAATAATTATGTTTAAGCAACATGTATTTAAAACAGAATTTTTAAGTATCAGAATTAATTGTGCTTTTATTTTTAAATTAGAATTTTTAATTTTTCAATCAGAATTATTTGTTTATAAAAATTAAATCAGAATTTTAAAATCAGAATTATTTGTTTTCATATTGAAAAAAAGACGGGTCATATTTTCAAAATGTTCTCGAGTGTTTGTTAGCAACTATTCCTAAATTTACCAGAAAAATCTTCAAAATTTACCTTAATTTTATAAAAAATCGGAATGAAGATAGTTCCAGCCATTGTATAAATAAACAATCCAGAGCCTTAAGTATAAATTTCGGCGGGTACTCCAAGCAAACCAATACCAGAAACAAAAGTAGTTAATAAAGAGAGGCAAACAGGGAAGGCTGGAAGGCGACGACCTCCATCTAGAAAATCCCCTGTTTTCGAGTTTTGTTGTTGTTCTGATTTTAAAGACAGGAAACGTCCGATTCTGTGGTAGAGACCAACAAGGAATTAAAGATTTTAAATCTAAACTACTGTAAATGCTTTAATTAAAGCCCTGGGCTTCTATTTTCAATGGATCGCTTTGAGAGGCCAATTCTTCCTTTCTTATTCGTGCCCAACTTTCAAGCAATCATTTGCTAATATATACACCTTATACATATTAGATAGGGGCTTCTATTAGAGAGTGGGCTTACGTTTTTCGATGGCTGATGGTTGTACGTAGCGTACGTTTTTAAAATTGGAATTTTTATTATTGAAAAAATACTTTAAACAATTAAAAATAGTTCAATTAATTGTAAAAATATGGAATTTTACAAGATACTTTTAAAGTTTTTTTTTCGGATTTAAAAAATAATTACAAATTACTGGATTTGAGCATTAAAAAATAAATTTTTTCCTCTCTAAAATGTCCACTTAATTTTAATTGTATTTTTCACAATTCTGCAACTGGATTTTGAAGTAGAAACACAAGAATGTAAAGGGTCACTGTTGAAATTGAAAAGATACATATGTTCTTAATTAAAAAAAATATTTAAAAAATTTTGTTAACAAAATAAAAATTTTGGAAATTTTTTAAAATTCTTTAATGAATACGGGAAATAAAATCCATTCGCCTAATTCTCATACTTAATCTCATATCTAATGGTTGGCCAAAATTAAATTATTTTTATCTAAAAAGGCCTTCGACCATTAAACGATTTTTGAGATTTGGCCATGTTTAGCTTTTTATGAAAGGAGGGAGCCGGAAAAAATATTTACGGACTTGCGGGGGAGATACGAGAAAGTATCAAAAAATTTTCTATTTTTAATAAAAAATTTGATTCTACTAGACTTTATGAATCCAATCAAACTTTATGAGTTTGATAAAAAAATTGGATTTTTCTTGGTATTGCAAAGTTGGGGTATGGTTCCAAAACATTACTTCATTTTCACGACCTACACCCATTGGGTCTAGGGCCATTCCTTACACTAAAAGTTATAGCCAATTTTTAAAAATTTCAGAAAAACGATTTTTACTTTCAGAAATTTCGAGGGATAGGGTAAGGAATGGTCCCAGACCCAGTGGGCGTGGGGTCCGAACCTGAAGAACTGTTTTGGAACCATACCCCAAAATTGAAATACCAAGAAAAATCCAATTATTTTTTGGTTGGACTCATAAAGTTTGATTGGACTCATAAAGCCAAGTAGGACCAAAAAAATTTTTATATTGGAAAATAAAAAATAATTTATTGTTAATTTACTTTGTAAGAGTTTCTAAGAATTTGAGAATTAAAAAAAACCATCGAAGCCTCAGATAACAAAATTAACAAACATGCAAAATCACCAGGCTGAATGGAAAATTTTTTTTTATATGGCCAAAAATTAAAATATACTTAGCAAAGTTTATCAAACACGCTATCCAAGATGTAGTTCCATTATGAGATGACTAAAATTTATTGGATAAAATAAAGAAATATGATTCACTTTAATTATTCGATGCCAAAAGTCCGAAAATTTTGTCCGCAAATTAATTTTGTATATACTTTCTCGAAAAGTAAAATTTTTATAGGGTCAATACAGGTCAGGGACAGATTCGTTAAGACACGTCATCCATATCTTAGCGCGTGTCTTCAATACGGGCATTTAAAAAAATTTTGGCACAACACTTATGCGTTCAAACAAAAAATAATTGGATTTTTCTTGGTGTTGCAAAGCTGGGGTATGGTTCCAAAACATTTCTTCAGGTTCGGGACCTTCGCCCACAGTGTCTGGATCATTCCTTGCCCTATCCCTCGAAATTTCTGAAAGTTAAAATCGTTTTTCTGAAATTTTTAAAAATTGGCTATAACCTTTAGTATTTCGAGGGATAGGGCAAGGAATGGTCCCAGACCCAGAGGGCGTAGGTTTTAAAAATGAAGAAATGTTTTGGAACCAGACCCGAAACTTACAACACGAAGAAAAATCCAATTTTCTTTTAATTGGACGCATAAAAGTATATATACAACTTGCGGACAAAATTTGCGGACTTTTGGATATAATAATTTGAAAGAATAGGAGGGTTTGAAATTTCTCATTGGAATAAAAATGAGTTTTCCCAACCAAGTATTCCAAAAAAATATTCAGATTAAGTTTCTAATTAAAGATTAATAGGAAAACCCCGATAAAATATTAAAAAAAACCTGCTTTTAAATCCGCTGAATGATCAAAAATTTTTGAAGCATCAAACAGGTGATGATGAAAATTGATTTAAATATTTAATTGTACGAGTATTTTAAGCAGTTAAAAAATTTTTAATTGGAATATTAATAGAAAAATGCAATAGAAAAAAGACTATACTTCGAATGATTTAAAGCAAAAAGAAATAATTTATTTATAAAAAATTTTTGAGCCTCAAACAAATAACATCAAAACCACAAATTTTAATCAGGAAACAAAATGGGTAAGGCTTCAGTATAATAATCAATATAAATAAAATTAATTTGGCTTCTATACAGGATGTCGGTTCGTTCAATTGCCGTTTGCATCAACCTGGGTGCAATTATGGTATGAATTTTGGCCCGGACCGCAGCTTTGATTTTAGCAGCTTCTCCTCCAACCACAATCACTCTACCGTCTTCTCCTATCTCACCAAAAAATCCAATATCTTAAAGTGTTTAAATACTTCTAGTGATAAAAAGGGATATATTTTTAAGGAAGCTTTAATCCCAGATAATGGAAAAAAGGGACTTGTAATCTCATGATAAAAATACGTCAATAAAGAGGGGTAAAAAATTGTATAAAAATAAAAAAATACTCAGTGAGACTCCACGTTCTTTTATGGCGGAGAGCATGGATGTCACCAATGCACATCCTGCAGAATAACCAGTCTTGGGAGCATCACTCTAAACGGATAAAATTTTTAAAGGAATTTGGTTAGAAGTCCATTGTCCAAAAAGACAAGTTTTTTGGGTTTGATTTGGATATTTTCTTGGGTTATTTTCAAACAATTTAAAATCGGAATTAATCCGGGTATTTTTCAAACAATTTAAAGAGTATTTAAGAAAAGAAACCGGATAAATATGGCCAAAAAAATGACAAGTTCTTGAGAAGTCAATTCCCAGCTCAATTAAGTGAGTACGTATGAAAACTTCAGCAATCATATAAGAGTCTTTAACCATTGTATCGCAATTGCCGACTAATGCTTCGTCAGGTTTGTAATATAAAATTTTTGTCACAATTAAGTGCAGGCAGCCTTCTCCTTAATTTATTTTAGATAAAAAAGGGATCAGGAATTTTTCAAAAATTATCTAATAATTTAAATAAAAGTTTTCTGAAAATGCCAAAAAATTGAAATTAATCTTTTGGAAATTGTCGACAAATTTAGAACTACTCTTATTAAAATTTTCGAAAATTTTAAATTTAAAACTATAATAAAAAAAGAAACCGTCAGGGGTATATCCAAAGATTGGAAAAAAGCCAGGTGTTGGATCAAGCGCTCCAAAATCCTGATTCTAATAAATAAATTGAATAAAAATAAAAATGTTTTTAAAAATAAACGTCAATTGCTGCCAAATAAATCGCCAATTGATTAACTTCAAAATCGGGAACAGGCAAATTTACAGCATCTTGCAAAACTTCCTCATTCTGAAAGTCCTCCAAATTTTCTTCCAAAATTTCATTGCCGACATTTCCTTCTTCCATGTTCTCGATTATTCCAGCTTCTTGATTATCCTCCTCTCTTTTTAAACAACTGCAAACATTTCCCATTGTAAAAAATTGCCAACGCTAGAAATATCTTAAAAAATTAAAAAATTGTGGAAGCAGAATTTAAAAAAAGGGAGGGAAAGAAGGTAAAAGAAAATTTAAAAAAGCTGGGAATAACGGAAAACCCAAAAATTCCGATTTCAGTGTTGACTGTTCAACACTGACCAGGAAAAGGACAATTTATTGCAGTTTAAACCTGCAAAAATTATCAAACGATTGTGAGAGCAATAAATTACCACATTTCTACACAATTTTAATTTTAAAAATTTTGAAAATATGAATTAATTTTGGCTAAGTGTTTTAAAAAATTATGTCTCCTCGTTTTGTATACTATCTTCAAACAAAATTCTACAATTCCCCCAGACGGAGCAGTTCATTTCAGTCTGTAAGTACATATGAGTCTGCAAAATCATTATTTTTCAACTAAAATTTATTAATGATGTCTTATTGTCTATATTGATCAAAACAGTACAACCCAGACTATTTTTACCATCAAATAACTAGGGATATGTCATTCTTCAATGAATCGCCTCAAAAATATAATCCAAGCTATAAATATTTTGTATTTCCGATCTTATTTGTATTCCGATCATATATTGACGTTATTTTTGTGCTAAATTTATCAAAATTGCAAAATTATTTATTTTAGCTCATTAAATACATTTTTAGTAGATAATAAAATTAGTCTAATTTACAAATTCAACATTCTAGTTAATGTATTTGAGATGGTTTAACGGCAAATTTATATATATTTATTCAAGTCAACAAAAACAACTTGGAATTCTTCAATGAAGTTTTATAATCCAGGCTATAAATGTTATGAATTTCCAATCTTATTTTGAAATTTCTTATATTCAACAAATGTCTAATTTTATATCAACATTTTGGATGGATCTCTTAGCTTGAGCACTGGGATAAATAACATTATTCAACCATTGCAGAAAAATGAATTAAAAATCAAATATGATGCTGCAGCTCAACAGTCTTCAGTAAATAAGTTAATATTTGTAATTTTTTATTTGCTTTTTGTTTTAGTTAACCATATTTTTAACAGCAACATTGTCGAATTTCCAACGATACTTATCAATTAAATTTTAAGAAAAAACAAAGGATTGCAGACGGAAAGTGAGTTTCGATTAAAATATTTATTTATCACCTTTTACATTATATTTTATAATTGATGACAATTAAAAAGGTTTCTATTTGCTTGTCGCAAATATTTACTCTATTTAAAATATTGTCTTTTATGTGAAACTGACGCCATTTCTGTGCTAAATTTATCATAATTAAAAACTTATTTATTTTAGCTCATTAAATACATTTTTAGTGGATAATAAAATTATTCTAATTTAAAAATTCATATTTTTAGCTTATGTATTTGAGATGGTATTAACGGCAAATTTATATATATTTATTCAAGTCAACAAAAACAACTTGGAATTCTTCAATGAATTTTTATAATCCAGGCTATAAATATTATGAATTTCCAATCTTATTTTGAAATTTCTTATATTCAACAAATGTCTAATTTTATATCAACATTTTGGATGGATCTCAAAGCTTGAGCAATGTGATAAATAACATTATTCAACTATTGCAGAAAAATGAATTAAAAATCAAATATGATGCTGCAGCTCAACAGTCTTCAGTAAATAAGTTAATATTTGTACTTTTTTATTCGCTTTTTTTAGTTAACCATATTTTTAACAGCAACATTGTCGAATTTCCAACGATACTTATCATTAAATTTAAAGAAAAAACAAAGGATTGCAGAGGGAAAGTGAGTTTCGATTAAAATATTTATTTATCACCTTTTACATTATATTTTATAATTGATGACATAATTAAAAAGGTTTCTATTTGCTTGTCTCAAATATTTACTCTATTTAAAATAGTCTTTTATGTGAAACTGACGCCATTTCTGTGCTAAATTTATCATAATTAAAAACTTATTTATTTTAGCTCATTAAATACATTTTTAGTGGATAATAAAATTATTCTAATTTAAAAATTCATATTTTTAGCTTATGTATCTGAGATGGTATTAACGGCAACTTTATATATATTTATTCAAGTCAACAAAAACAACTTGGAATTCTTCAATGAATTTTTATAATCCAGGCTATAAATATTATGAATTTCCAATCTTATTTTGAAATTTCTTATATTCAACAAATGTCTAATTTTATATCAACATTTTGGATGGATCTCTTAGCTTGAGCACTGGGATAAATAACATTATTCAACCATTGCAGAAAAATGAATTAAAGATCAAATATGATGCTGCAGCTCAACAGTCTTCAGTAAATAAGTTAATATTTGTACTTTTTTATTCGGTTTTTTTTTAGTTAACCATATTTTTAACAGCAACATTGTCGAATTTCCAACGATACTTATCAATTAAATTTTAAGAAAAAACAAAGGATTGCAGAGGGAAAGTGAGTTTCGATTAAAATATTTATTTATCACCTTTTACATTATATTTTATAATTGATGACATAATTAAAAAGGTTTCTATTTGCTTATCGCAAATATTTACTCTACTTAAAATTTTGTCTTTTATGTGAAACTGTTTACAAATTCATATTACAAATTCATATTTCTAGCTAATCTATATGAGATTGTATTAACGGCAAATTTCCATATTTATTTATTCAAGTCAACAAAAACATCTTGGAATTCTTCAAGAAATTGCCTCAAATTTATAATCCAGGCTATAAAGCTGCTAGATAATTTGATTCAAATACTAGATAATTTGTTCGATTACTTTTTGATCACTTTCCAGGTGTTGATCATTAGAGACAGGATTTTAGGCAAAATGCCTGTTTTTTTCCTAGATAGGCCTGATGCTGAAACGTTCAAATCCGGTGTTTTTTTACTGAAATCTGTTTTCTAACTAATTTTATCATTGCCTAAAATTGCCTATTTTAACTTTTTCTGGGAAAATGCCCTATTTTGCCTTTTTTCAGCCTATTTTGCATATTTTTACTAAAATTTGCGAATTTTTGCGCATTTTTTGAGAAAATTGCTGTTTAAAAAATTTTTTTCTGGTAAAATATAAAATTTTTTCAAAAAATTTTTGTCAAAAAATCTTTTTGGGGAAAATTTTCTTCTGAAAAATTTATCAAATTATTTTCGTAAACAAAAATATTAATATAAATTAATTTATATGAAATTCTGATCATCGAAATTAATTTATTTAACATTTTATTGCTTAGATTTATCTTTTTTGATAAAATTTATTCAATTTAAATCAGAAAATCTAGAAAAAATACTGCCTATTTTGCCTTTTTTTCGGATTTTAGTGCCTATTTTGGCAGTTTGTTAGTGCCTATATAGGCGCCTATTTTTAACTTTATCGTGCCTAAAAATCCTGTCTCTATTGATCATGCTTTTCGGTTGATCAATCCACTTGTTCATCACTCAATTGGGTACTCTTGTGTTGACTCTTCCCTTTTTATTTTTTTACCATTTCATTTTTATTTCTCAAAAAATACACATGGTTCAAATTAAATCTGTCTTGAGTACGATGTTTTGAAATTACAGTTCCATTCACAACGTTGTATGTGACCATTACTTCTATTTACAAAACGCTCACTGTATTACCAGAATATTTTAAATTAATAGAGGGCCTATTCATCAAGAGTTACAATACACAAGCACAATAATGGACATTGGTCCTTAAAACCAGAGCTAGGTACCTATCGTCATAATTCTTTATCAATATGTTAATCAGATTCGTGTGTGCTTTTTATATGTAGAGAAAGGAAAAAAAGAAGAAGAAAAATAAAACTCCCATGGAACAAACTCCAAATGATTTATATTACAAATAAGTGATGTAAACCTTCAGATCCCAGATCCATCAATATCCCTCAAAATCCACATAGGTATATTACTTAAGATCCTCTGATATCTGTGAATCCATCCGAAACCTTATTATCTCTCCAATTCCATAAACTCCTTAATACCTCAAGCGAATAACTAAATATGTATATCCTCTTTCTTTTTCGATTGATAATTTACCTAGATCAATATCACTTATAATCCTCTCAAAGCCCTGATATCCTTTTTAATATCCCTTATATGACTCCAGATTTACTCAGAAATATTATGATCATTCCTAATAGAGTAATATTTAACTAGGTAATTAAGGAAATAAATTGGATTTAGGTAGAATGTAGTTAAAAGGGGCATTAAATTGAAGAATTCTTTCAAATAGAGACAGCCATTCTATATTTTTCGCCAAAAAAGGGCCATTAAATTGGGGAAATTAATCTACGATTCTTTCGGCCATTATATTAGAATAAATACGGTAATTTATACTAATTAATTTGTTTTCAAAAATCTTAAAGTAATTTTTTACGAGAAAATTTTGCAAATTCGGTTGGTCGAATGATACCAAAATTGGCCAGATCTATGATTCTAACAAAAATTATAAAGCTAAATCCGCGTTTCACAACTTTGTCCACTTAAGTCAGATTTGGATGTTTTTAATGTCATTCGACTCAGCTCGAAGAGCTCTTTCGAATGATTTATAATTTGCTAAAAATTGAGAAAAAACTAGGATAAAATAGAAGGGGGGGGGGATTTACAAACTATTAACGCAAATTCTTTATAAAATTTTTTGGAAAAAATTTGTAAAAAATATGGACTCATATCCAAAAATGCAAGAGAGGTCCAAAATATAAAATATGTATGTTTAAGAATAGAGCCCCAAAAAGCTTGTTAGCTTTCGACCTAGCTTTCGACATTAGCTTTCGACTTCTCGCTTAGCTTATCCTAAAAAAATCAGCTTTTGACTTTTTAATTAATGGCATATCTGCATACAAAACATCATTTGCATATTTTGTGAGTCTCCAATAATTAGGGAATAATTAAGTTCAGTGTTAAGCCTAAGACTGGGATTTTTGCTTCAAGATTTTAGGAATTATTTGTTAAAATTAAATTAAAAAATTAAATTTTTATTTATTTTTTCTAATTAAAACTTTAGTAACTAATTGCTCTCACAATTTTTAAAAA